AATATGTTCATTGTCTGGTCTCCTTACTCCTAAACTTATCCCAGTCAGTCAGTCATCCACTCTTTTGCCATGGCAATCTTTCTAAAATACCTAAAATCTAGCAGTGGCTCCCCATCATCTGTAGGATAAAGTCTAACCTTCTCAGCCTAACATAAGACTCCCTTCATGATTTACCCTTCCCTTTTCATTCTCACCTTCTGCCTCCTTTTCTCCTCATGCATTCTGAATTGTTTGTCCTTTCCAAAAGGACACACCTTTGTTTTCAGGCAACTCTCTGTGCATGCTTTTGTTACTTCCTAGAATGACTAACTCTCCATGCTCCATTAACTTTACAAAATTTGGCTCAGGTGTTACCTTCTCAGCAAAGGCCTTTCTGATGTCCAAGTAAAACCAGGCTCTTTCTCCTCTGGGCTGCCTTCCTGATTTATTGCATATCTTTTGTTGTTAGCTGCCATTTGAGTCAACCCCTGACCCATGGCAATCCCATGCACAACAGAACAAAACAGTACCCAGTCCTATGCCATCCCATTTGGGGCCATCTTCATGATCCTTTTTGGAAGTTGCAAATTGGACAGTTGTGATCCACTGGGTTTTCACTGGCTGGTTTTTGGAGGTAAATTACCGCTAGTCTCAGTCTGGTAGTTCCACTGAAATTTGCAAGCCTCCACTGACACATGGGTGCTGGCTATGCATGAAGTATTTTCTCTAGGAATTGAACGTGAGTTTCCCACATAGAAAGTGATTATTCTGCCGCTGACCCATCACTGCCCCATTGTATATCTCTAATGTAGTCCTGATAACAGTATCTTGAAATTATCTCCTTTTGTTTTCCCTTTCCAATTTATAGACTCCTAGAGGACAACAACTTTGACATACGATGTCTCTATTGATTGGTTTAATGCAGTAAATGCCTAATAAATGCCATGGTTTCAAAATGTGATTTCTAGGCTAGCAATCTCTGGGAGTACTTAAAGGGCAGGGAGGCCTCATCTTCTGACCTCCTCTAACTCCACAAAAGGAAGACAGGATCACCATCAGTAGCCCAAGGCCTATTCCTGCAAGGCCAGACATGCCACCTCCCTCTAACCCTTTCACCAACCCTGACATCAACTGTTCCCACAGCACCCACCACCTATCTGCTGGGTTCAATAATTTGCTGCAATGGCCACACAGAACTCACAGATTATGGGGTTTATTAGGGAAGCACCAGGCTACAATTCAAGTTCAGGCAAAATGCTCAGTCTCTCTCAGCCTGCCGTCACTCAGTCAACAGTCTCTCATGTTCTCTCTCCCAGCAGTGCATGTCTCTCTGTGTCTCTTTCTTAGCACATGTCTCTCAGGAGCATGTTTCTCTCAGCAGCACATCTTTCAGAGCCAGCAGTCAGAGAGACTCCTTCTGCCTCTAGGAGGCCTCCTTTTGAGCCTGGCAGAGTAGCCAAACTAACCAATCATAACATCAGAATTCTAAGCACCTGAGAGAGAGCGAACTTCCCAGGACATTGCTTTGTGCCACTCTCAACAGAAATACCCCAAGTGGATAACTTACAATCAGGAGCTCCTCAGTTGCTCACAGAAAATTCCACCACAGAGTTTACAAAGACTTATAGCTAGAAAAGCCATACCAGGTATTTACTACACCGCAGGGAGCTTGTCAGGAATACAGATTCTTGGACTCAACCCCAGATTCACTGGATCAGAAACTCGGCAGGTGGTGCCCAGCCATCTAGTGTTCTAACAAGCCCTGAAGGAAATTCTAATACATGTTCAAGTTAGAAAACCACTAGTCCAGTGAATATATGATGGACAACATTCACTCTGGAGTAAACTCTAGTTTCATGATAAGTAGGACCCTTTCACTTAGAAAAAGGAAACAGCCATGTAGAAACAAATCTAAAATAGTGAGCATTTGTAGCCAAGACTGACAGTATTTTTGATGTCATGAATTTAGGCTAAAAATCTTCTGTGATTCTGTTAACTTTTAAATCATTAAAATGAGAAAATAAGCTAAGTTAAAAGGAAGAAACAAAATTGTTACTATAAAGAATCACCTGTAATACGCCATCAAAGATAATCATATTATCAGTAATTATTTCTAGTTGCCATTTCTATTCATCAGCTTATGTTTTGTGATTTGTTATATGAATATATTTTTTATTCAGAAAGCCTTGTATTTGAGTCATGTGAAATCTTTAAAAAATTAATTGATTAAAGTGCATTTTTTGACTTTCACATATGCATCTTTTCACTTTCTAACATCTAAATCAGGAATTCATGAAATAATGGAAATCCAGGGTCTTATTAAATGTAGTTTTACCTGACTACTGCCTTATTTTTTTATTAATTTATAAGGCTGGACACTTGATTTTTGCTTATAATACGTAAGATTGCTTATGTGAGGTAATCATAATTCAACTGTATAATTTTAACTTAGAGGACTTCTTTTAGGAAAGTAGTCTACCATAAGAATAAAGACAACAGGAAACAGGAAATCTTGATTCTTTTCTTTCTAGTCCTAGACCAGACTCAATCAACTTTTCAAAAAAAGACAAGCTTTTGTAGCTTCCCTCCCATTATGTCTTAACACATTACTGCCTACTCAGGTAAAGATGTGAATTCTCTTTGTTTATACATTTTGTACAATTACAAAACCAAACAAATTATATATTAAATACCATAAAATATAGAAATGGTAAAATTCAACTTTACAATATTAATGTAACAAATGATGTTTTGCTGAAATTAAATGGCACTGTTGGGTTTGAACAGCAGCCAGAATTATTTATGTATTTTATTTTCCACTGGTTAACTTTATTTCCTTTTCAAGCATGATTATCATCATCATTATCATAGACATTGTTTTTAAACCAATTTGTTACATTTTTTTCCCCAATCTGTTATTTTGATGGTCCGGTTTAATCGTACTTTGCAAAAATAGTACTAAAAAATAAGTAATCATTTAATGACAAGTTCTTTATTGCCTACTTAAGGCTATATTTACTGCTATGAAGTATTGGAAAATGGTTCATAAAAGGAACTAGTCTGCTCAGCACAATTGAATACATATGGTATTGACTGCTCTGGCACACTTTTGAGTTTGGCATGCCTATGTGTGTCTACTCTTGTCTCTGTTCTGCATTACTTAGCCTCAACCTGGCACCAGTAGGCTTAGAAACTCCAATGTAGAAATGGGCACTGCAGTCCTGTGGCAGCATTCAGTTCCAATGGTGGTTATTTGGAAGACCCAAATCATAAATAAAACTTTTTGAGTCTAAGAGGAAAATGAAAACAGTTTTAAAATTCTTAGAGAACTCATGGATCTTCAGGAACCCAAGAACTAAGTAATAAATCCATGAAGCAATCATTTAAAGAAATTCACAGGATAAAAAAGCCCTTGACAGAGCATTGACTAGCTAGCCTAATTTTAAACTTCTAAAACTTGTACTAAGCTTAAATCACATGATTTTCTGCTGCTAATATTTTTTTACGTCTATTATTTTGTTCTACATTTCTCCTCTACTGTTTCTTTCCCATCTCACTACCCAGTCCTTTTCCTCTCGCCTTCTATACATTTTTTTATAACTTCATGTTTTTGGTGAGGCTACAGTCACAATTCCCTGCCTTAGCCCATCTTGATGTACCATCCATTTTCCATGATTGATGAGTGTGCATATGACCTAAACCAGGCCAGTTAAGGGGCAGTTAAGAATCTCAGTTTCCTGAAATTCTTTAAACTAAACGCAGGAGGGAGACTCTTATTCCTCATAGGTTTAAACTAGGATGATAGCAAGATGGAGCTTCTTGTAACTGGTTTCCCACTTTGCTTCCTCCATGAAAACAAGCACCTTGCCATTGAATCAGTTCTAACTCATGTCAATCACATGTGTTACAGAGTAGAATTGACCTTCATAGGCGCTTGGCTCTAATCTTCCCAGAAGTAGATTGTCAGGTTTTTCTCCCATGGCACCACTGGATGAGTTTAAATCACCAATCTTTAGGTTGGTTGGTAGCTGAGTGCACACCATTCGTGCCGCTTAGGGACCCAGCCCCTGAAAAATATCCACAGAGGTAGCTGCATGTGATAGTATGAGATTTAACAAGAATAGCAGAAACACCAGGAGAAAAAATCCTGGTGGAGATGGAGCCTCCATCTTTGCCTCTATGGCTACCTATCTTCCATCAACCTTCTTAGTTGAAGACAGTTTCCAGTGGGATTTTTCACTTGGTACCTGCAAAAATGGCAAGGAGGCCACATATTCTGACCTCCTCTAATCCCACAAGAGGAAGACAGGATCACCAGCAGTAACCCAAGGCCTATTCCTACGAGGCCAGACATGCTGCCTCTTTCCAGCGCTTTCTCCAACCGTTCCTCCCAAAGCACCACCACCTCTCTCCTGGGTTCGATAATTCGCTGCAGTGGCCACACAGAACTCACAGATTATGGGATTTATTAGGGAAGCACCAGGCTACAATTCAAGCTCAGGAAAAATGCTCAGTCCCTCTCCCAGCCCACCGTCCCTCAGCCAACAGTCTCTCACAGTCTCTTTCCCAGCAGTGCTGGTCCCTTGGTGTCTCACTCAGCGATGCGTGCCTCTTGCGCCTCTTCCCCAGCAACACGTGTCTCAGGAGCTCGTGTCTCTTTCAGCAGCATGTCTTCCTCCACCAGCAGTCAGAGAAAGAGTTCTGCCTCTAGGAGGCCTCCTTTTGAGCCCGGAAGGGTGGTCAAACTAGCCAATCACAGCATCAGAACTCTAAGCACCTGAGAGAGAGTGGGCACCTCCCAGAACATTGTATTGTGCCACGCCCAACAGAAATAACCCAGGTGGATAGCTTCAGCAATCAGGAGCTCTTCAGTTGCTCATAGAAAATCCCGCCTTGGAGTTTACAAAGACTTATGGGTAGAAAAGCCACACTAAGTAATTTACTACACCGCAGTACCGGACACTATCCTAAATAATCTGTATTATAATAGTAAATGATTTTTCCATTTTTTGTATGTCTAGGTGAAGATGGAGCTGGAAAAACAAGCTTAATAAGAAAAATCCAGGGAATTGAGGAGTACAAGAAAGGAAGAGGATTGGAATATTTGTATTTAAATGTACATGACGAAGATAGAGAAGGTGAGTGTCGTTTATTTGCAACATAAGTTTCCTGAAGTTTTTTCTGAGGGGCATGCTGCTTACATTAGTCTTTGACTTAATGTATTGTTTTCATCAGTCCTATTGTGTCATGCCTGTCAGTAAATATTACGTTTAGACATACCTTTATTGGTTTGGTGGTAGCATAGTGCCTAAGGCATTTGACTTTTAACCAGAAAGAAGGCTGGTAGTTCAGACCCACCAGCCACTCCTCGGAAGGAAGGTTGGGGAATCTACTTCTGTAGTGATATCGCCTCGGAAACCCAAGGAGGGGTCACTATGAGTCAGGTTCGACACGAAGGCAGTGAGTTTGGTTTTTGGTTTTTTTTGTTTTATTGGTTTGGGATTGGGATTCATGATACTTGTAAACATCTTAGAGCATTCCAGTGTGCAGACTTTAGCTTTCTTGTCATTCTAGAAGAATCTTCATTTTTCAGTTCATCTTCCTTCAGATAGTGAAATAATACTATCCTATGATTGTTTTTCTGACTCCCCTTTCATGTCATTTTCTGGCATAAAAATATCATCTACTCCCTAGCTTTTCTCTCTGATCAGCCATGTTTTCTTCCCTAAATCACTTGCGTTTTCTTTTTGGTATGTAGTATCTTGAATATGTATAGCCCTATCTAGAGATGGTAAGACTATAAATATGTTACTCCATTTCAGTTTGAATTCAGAAATATGAAGTAGAGGATACTGGTGCTGTGTTGGCAGTTGAATCATTTTCAGAAGTATCTTTGGTAGATGTGACTTAATAGTTGAATCCTGTCAAAGCCAGTAGACATCTTTTGTGGAGATGCCGTAGACTACCAAGCAGTATTGTTAGTTGGATGATGAAATAACATAATCCTGTTGTCTTGGTAACTTTCTTTTTGTCTGCTATAGATCAAACAAGATGTAATGTGTGGATCTTAGATGGAGATCTGTATCACAAAGGCCTCCTTAAATTTTCACTGGAAGCCATTTCTCTGAAGGACACACTAGTGATGCTGGTTGTTGATATGTCAAAGCCTTGGACTGCTTTGGATTCTTTACAGAAATGGGCAAGTGTTATTAGAGAGCATATTGACAAATTGAAAATTCCTCCTGAAGAAATGAAAGAAATGGAACAAAAGTGTGAGTAATCTAGAAATATTAACAGATTTCAAATATGGAATGTCTTTGCTGATGGTAATAATCATTAGGGATTTTTTTACAATGGGTAAGGTGTAGTGAAGGAAACATAATGTGACTACTATATTTGAAATTCGATTTATTGACATGGTAGGTATCAGTATAGTTTTGAATTAGAAATACGTACATAATGGCATACACTCTTTTAGTAGAGGTGCTCTTTCTCCTTGCCAAAAGGCTATGTGTGTTCATTTTGGAAAATAGACTTGTAGAGTGAACAGAGATTTGTGTCTTTCTTCAGTTGTTGGGTTTCAGCCTTTCAAATTTAGGATAAGTAAAGCAATCCTGTTAACCTTGTCAGAATGAAATATGTCAGATAAGCCATTAACAACATAAAGATGTTAGGCTGCTTTTGTGATCTACAAAGTATATATTTTGTATGTGCCCACGTGAATTAGAAGTTTACATGGAAATCATTAAAATGATAAGGATCATTTTTAACAGGCTGTAAGCCAGTCACAATTCTAAATTTTACTGAGTACTCTTCGTTTGTTGTATTTTGTTTTAAAAATATGTAAACCAAAACACTACTGCCATCGAGTCGATTCTGACTCATGGAGAACCCCCATTGGGTTTCTAAGGTGGTAAATCCTTAGGAAGTAGATTGCCCCGTCTTCTTTTCAAGGAGTGGCTGGTGGGTTTGAACCGCCAGCTTTCTGGTTAGCAGTCAAATGCCTTAGGCACTGCACCACCAGAACTCCATACTACTAAAGAAATACTCCTTTTTTTTTATTGCTGTTAGCTGATAATAACTCTTAAGTAAAAATTGATGCATACGGGGATTATATGTAAGAAAACAGTAGACACTTAAGGGTCCTAAGTCGTTGTCATGAGACAAAGTATATGTGAATTGCTGTATGGAAAGTGAATTTGCTCTGTAAATTTTCACCCAAATCACAATAAATAAAAATAAATAAATAAATAAAAGAGTCCTAAGTCATTGAAAAAGATGTCTAAATGCTTTTAATGTCTATTCTATCTTTCTTTCCCTGTTGGCCACTGTCTGGTTTTTCCCCTCTGGTTAAAGCATTTGGCTGCTAACCAAAAAGGTTGGAAGTTTGAATCCATCAGCCGCTCCATGGAAGAAAGACAAGACAGCTTGCCTTCATAAAGATTTACAGCCTTGGAAACCCAAAGGGGCAGTTCTACTTTGTCCTCTAGGGTGACTATGAATTGGAATCGACTTGAAGGCAATGAGTTTGGTTCAGTTATATCTAAGTTTATATAGCAGTAGTTCTCAAGTGTAGTCCCTGGACCAGCAACATTAATATCAGGATCAGATGGGAATTTGTCAGAAACTTAAATTCTTAGACCTTACCCAGACTACTGAGTAAGAAACTCTAAAGGGTGATTTAACAGATTCTGGTGAGTGATAAAATTTGGCAATCACTGTTAGATTTCAGTCTGCAAACTTAAGGTAGTAGCTACCAGAGCTGCTTAAGGATGTATGTATATGCCCCTGTGTTCCTTGAAAGGAGCTCTGGTGGTATAGTGCCTAAGCCATTTGACTGCTAATCAGAAGGTTGGCGGTTCAAACCCACCAGCCTCTCTGTGGAAGGAAGACTGAGCAGTTTACTTCCGTAAAGATTTACTGCCTCGGTAACCCAGAAGTCCCTCTTGTACTCAGTAAAGTTTAGAATTGTGACTGGCTTACAACCTGTTTAGGACACTGTTCCTTCATACGAGTCAGTCTTCATATTCCAAGGAAGATGACTCATGGTTACCTTATTTGTTCCTAATTATGTAAGTAATGCACACTGTTTACTTCTAAAACATTGAACATTTATTTTAGTGTATTTTTCCCAGTATTTTTCTATTTCTATGCTGTGGATAATTTAATTTAAATTTTGTTGTTTTACTTTTAAATATGGTGAACAAGCCTGTATCCTTACCCTTGTGTGGACTGATTATCTCCTTACAATCAATTCTTGGAAGGATAATTACTGATTCAAAGTGTACAGTGTTAATAAGACTCTTGGACATTTACTTTTTTTTTTTTTTTTAAGTGAAGGTTCTGGCAATTTTACAAAAGAGTTTTAAAATTTTATCAGCATTAGTAATGATAATATTTTATTAATTCTTACCAGGATTATAAAGTGAACATGGCCCAAGATTGAGCCTGGGTGGAAAGGAGGAGAGCTGGATTAAGGGTTCTAAAATTAAAATCATCCAGGACTGTGTTTAAATTGTAGGTTATTATTATTATTATTATTTGGTGGCTTTTATTTTTTTACACATAGTTTCTTTTATCCTTTCATTGCCCTTTGTGAATTTCGGAAGGTAGAGAGACAAAAGTAGACTGTGACTTGCCGGAAGTATTTTGCACAGACTGAACAAGCCTGCGTAGAACCCCCTACTCTTTGGAGCCACCCATTGCTGATCTGTGTCTCCTAATACCTTATGTGGATCTGGTGTTTGTGTACTGTCTTTGAAATAGGTTTCTGAACCCTTTTTATTTCTTCTGTTATCAAAATAAGTAAAAAGTTTAGTAAAATGTATGTTTAGACTATGGCAGGTAACTTTATCTGCTTAAATAAAGCAATTTCTAAATTATGTATTAAATTATTTGATTTTCAGTGATTAGAGACTTCCAAGAATATGTAGAGCCAGGAGAAGATTTCCCAGCTTCTCCTCAGAGAAGAAATACCGTTTCACAGGAAGATAAAGACGACAGTGTGGTTTTACCTCTGGGTGCAGATACACTTACACATAACTTGGGCATTCCAGTACTAGTAGTTTGCACAAAGGTTAGTTTGCTTCCTAGATATTCTGCTACTGGTAGTTGATGAGGATGAACAGCTGTTTTTTTCTTCCCCCCCATGATTTTTGTTGGTGTTAACACATTAGTTTTCCTGGATAATTTTGCTAAAGAAATAGAAGTAATAATTTAAAGTATTGAATGATTGTCACATGTTGATCTTATAATCTTAGTGAAAATTTATTGGAAAGAGTTATTTTAAATATTTTCATGTTTCATTTTCCTAATTTTATTAGATGTCCCTGTACAATACTTTATTATTTAGTAGACTAATAGTATTCTGCTATCATTTAGTACAAATTATTATAGCCAAAATGAGAGTTTAATTTTGTGATAGCTAATTTTTACAAAATAAAATATTTTTCAACACTAATTTTTAAAAAATTTTAATGTGAAATATATAACAAAACATTTACCATTCAGCCATTTTATGTGTATACAATTAAGTGATGTCATTTATGTTCACCATGGTGTGCAACATGTTTTATAATCTGCTATAAAAATGTGCTGACTTAGTCTGTCACTGTATATACTTTGTAATAAAAAATCAAATTTCCTTATAGTTAAGTTCACCTTCTTGCTTTGTCCTGAGCGCTGTGGTTATACTGTTTGTAAAAACAGTGGAATAGTTAGGAAAATGACAGCGCATAAATCCTTTTGACACCTGAAATTACTAATGTTTTTTGAAGCATCTAAAATTTGCACATATAAATTAAAAGAAGGTATGGAACTTACTCATTTTTTGTAATAAAAATGATTAAAATAGCTTAACTTTCATAGCATTTAAAGTAAAGCTTATCAATAACAAAGGGCTGGGGAGCAGCATTTAAAATGTTAAAGTTTATTATTAGTCTTTCAGATGGTGATTCTGGTGTAGTTATTTACTATTTATAACTTTTCTTTACACCTATATTTTTAAATGTTAATATTAGAATCTTTTTGAGTGTGATTTGTTTTTATTTTGTTTTGTTTGCAAAGAGTTGTTTATTTGCAGATGTTTCCCTTATCTTACCACAACTTAATTTCATTAAAAACAATCTTATTTTCCAAAGGAAAAGTGTTAAACTTGAGTCCAGAGTCAATATCAAATGAGTCATAGATGCACAAAATTTTCAAGCAGAAAGATCATCTGCTGTATTTCATAGAATCTTAGCTATTAGGTATACCTCAGTTTAACTGTGTAGGAGGATGGGATAATGTGTGAGAATGGATTTAGTATAATAGTTCAAGTCCATCAGTTTAGAGACCGGAAATAGAGAGGGAGTAAGTTTCTTCCTTTAGGCCCAGATCTTGTGATTTCCATTAAAATCTCTTTATTAAACTACCATGCTTCACCAACAGTGACATAATAGTTGTAATTGCCTTTAATCATTTGAAATAATCATTCTTAGAGTTCTATAAAATGGGCAAACATGCTACAGACATGCTACATCATCTTCATACAAGGAGACTCTGTGCATACCAAATCTAAGCTCAAACTAGTGTTAGGTATAGTGAGCATTATTAAATGTTGCTTTTTAGATTTCTCAGTTCAGAAGGGTTTTGGTGAAATTATTTGGGTGTTATGATGGTTGAACATCTTTTTTATTTCTAACTTTTTTGTAGCAAGCAGAATTCAAAATTGTTTCATTGTTTGTATAGGTAGCATTTCAAAAATAGCCTATAATTCCCTTATTTTGCTCTTGTTGAGAGCAAAATAAGTGAGAGTGAATAAAAGCACCAGATAAACAAGAGAACAAAGACAAAATGGTGAGAAGTGAAGACTCCCTGAATATACAAAAGTGTTTTAAAGAACTGGAATAGAATTTAGATCTCAGAAACTTTGTTCTGGAACATAAGTAATTAAACAAATGTGACCACTCAGTATAAGCTTGTCCTATTAATCCCTTTATGGACAAAAACGTTCTCTTTAGTGTTCTCACCATATTCATTGTAACAGAGAAGTCAATGCTTTTTAAAGAAATGAAATTATTGTTTAGTCTTGAGATTTAAACCTATTATGTAGGATTTTATTTTAGAAAATTAATACAGAAATACTTAGGTTTGTAATACATATATTGCAATGTAGTCATGGCAACACAAGCAGGTAAGACCTCAGAACATTCATTTAGAACTGGAGAATCTATTTACCATTACAATGTTAGTTCCATGATTAAAGTCCCAGTCTTTAGACTTTAGGAGGTCTGGAGAGGAAGACTTGATCATGGCTTGAATTCAGCTGAAGTCCCTCATAGCAAGGTCCCAGGTGGACAGTGGTGGGCAAAATCTCAGCAGGTCTTGGTCTTCCGAATAAGAGACTAGAGTAAGATTGCTTTGCATTCTCTAAGTGAACAAGCAGAAACTGAGGGTTTATATGTGAAATTCTCACATTAACCTCCCATGATTAGGGCCAGTGTGATGCCTAAGACTAGTGTGTAATGTCTTCTTTTCAGGGTTAGAGATTAGCCAAAGGTCACATTTTTTCTTCAAGGCTACCAATTATGGAGGAGCTCTGGTAGCATAGTGGCTAAGACACTTGCCTGCTAACCAGAAGGCTGGCGGTTCAAACCCACCAGCCACTCCTCGGAAGGAAGGTTGGACAATCCTATTTCCGTAGCGATACTGCCTCGGAAACCCAAGGAGGGGTCGCTATGAGTCGGGTTTGACTCGACGGCACACAACAACAACAACAACAACAACTGGTGGTGTAGTGCCTAAGGCATTTGACTGCTAACCAAAAGGTTAGCAGTTCAAACCCACAAGCCACTCCGTGGAAGGAAGACTAGGCAATCTACTTCTGTAAAGGTGTACTGCTTCAGATACCCAAAGGGGGTCGCTATGAGTCAGAATCGACTCAATGGCAGTGAATTTGTTTTTTTTTGGTAGACTTTTTTTAGGCTAGTTTATAAAGATTAACTGTGTTATGTCTTTTATCATAGCATGCTTGTTCAAGGTCAACTTAAAAGATTATCATATTTTTCACATGCTTCTGTAACTTAAGTTTTTTAAATAACTTTCTAATGACTTAATAGATTTGTAATGATTTATAGTTAATGTTAGAGGGCCTCACAGAGGTAGATATATTTTGTTTCTAAATTTATATTATGAGTGATTATCCATATGTGTTTTGCAAGTATAATAGTGACTTATACCTTATAGGACTTAAGAGTATCATAAAAACATACAAACTACCACCAAGGATCTTTAGATAGGTAAGAAGTGGTTGATATTCTGAGTCCTCCTTTTCAGTTCCTCTAGCCAAAATTGAACTGTTTAAATCATTGTATTACATTTTGATTGTTTAGAGTTAACCTTATATTGTTCTTTTAACTATTTTAACTCAACAGTGTGATGCCATTAGTGTATTGGAGAAAGAACATGACTACAAAGATGAACACTTTGATTTTATTCAATCGCATATCCGGAAGTTTTGTTTACAATGTATCCTTTTAATACCTTAATGGCAATGTACCTTACCTGATTTTGGTTTCTGAAGCAAAGGAATTAAATTGATGGACTGTAAATGAAAACATCCTTTAATGCTTTCCTCCTGCCCCTGATCAGAAATTTATTTTAGATCCTAAGTTTTCATTTTAGTTCTCAAATACTTTGTATCTGAATGTTTTGAGATATAAAATAAGTGTCAAAATATGTGACTTTAATTTAAGTATTATGCTTAAAAATTATTCTTATGTGGAAAATTCTAATGAGATGGTTTTGTGAGCATATCTGATTAAAAAACTGTATATTCGTTTGTTGGAAGATATGGGGTGAACAAGATCCAACTCTGTGTTTGTACATTCTCATTTTTAATATGGTTAGTTAGCACCTTCTCCACATACAGTTTTACATAATTGTTTCCAAATCTGGCTATGCCTTAGAACCTCAAGTCTATGTAAGACCTAGTGAATTGGAATATTTCAAAGTGAAAATGGAAAATCTATATTTTTTAAAAAGCTTCTTGGATGATTTTGATGATCACAAATTGAAAATCTCTCTTGGGGAGTCTCTAATCTAGGTTACAAGGATTAAATGAGCCAAAGAATAACATATGTAACAAAGGGTGAAAATGAGGTTTTTAAATTAATTCTTTTAGGAGAATTTAATGCTGAAAACTTAGTCATAGTTTGAGTGCACTAGAGTGATTCTCACCCACCTTTCTTGCATCAGATATTTTGCAATGGGTTCCCCAACCAGAGCTTTTGTCTAAAAAATGAAGTGATATTAGGAGCAGATAATTATAAGTTTTACATATGTGTTTATAGTATCTGTATTTACAAATCATCTTTATTAACGGGTATTTAATTTAAGGACCACTTAATACAAAACCTAGCTAAATAAGACACTGGCAGTTTCCCTTTCCCTTCTGCTGTTTGTCCTGTCCATGAGGCTTTTTCTTCTTATATCGCTTATTGGTTGAGTTGAGTTAAAGGACACTGGTTTACATAAGAATCTATAATAAGAAAACAAAAAGTAAGCATAATTGAAGTAGGTATCCACAGCTTTTTTGTCATTGAAGATGTAAATATAGAAATGTAATCTGGAAGGAAATTACATTTAAATTAACAGACCTTTAGAGCCAGTTGATTTTAACAGTATCCGAAATATGAGAAGTCTGTAATTTAATGGACAATTTAAGTTGCAGTATAAATTTTTCAGCTATAGAACTCTTCCAAATTATCGATAAATTAGTTTTCATAATGGGGAAGATCATTAATGAAAGGTTTGCATGATTAAGGCTTTACTTAAGATTATGATGTTTATTTATACCAAGTTTTATACCAAGTTAAGGAACATTTAGATTCATAAACCTCAGGCCAATCCTAGAAAATATGAGTATCCCAGTTACAGAAATAAGACCAATCTCAGCATTTTCCTTTAGCTTAAGTCACCTTCTGTCGTGTGGACACGTTGCCATCGTTAGAGCATGGTCTTTGGTGTTTGGTTATAGGATCTCTGTTAGACCACATTATCTGGCAGCACTCATATTGCCCTCTTTTCCACAGACCTCTTGGTCTTTTATTTTTTAACCTTTTGATCATTTGATCCACTTTGTCTTTTTGGATAAAAGATTTAAATTAAGATCTGCTTTAATGAATACTTCTTCATGTGAGGTTGTTTTATCTCAAGTTTTGGTGAATTTTACTTTTGCCTTGTCATTCCTAAGGAGCTCTGGTGGCGCAGTGCCTAAGGCATTTGACTGCTAACCAGAAGGCTGGCACTTCAAACCTACCAGCCACTCCACAGAAGGAAGACTGGGCAATCTACTTCCATAAAGATTTATTGCCTCAAAACACAATGGGGTTCTCTGTGAGTTGGAATAGATTCGATGGCAGTGGGTTTGGGTTTGGGTTTGTCGTTCCTAGCAGGTTTCTTTATGGTACCTACTGGTTTCCCTTCTCTTGTCAGTAGATCTACTGAGCCCATTTCAGGGAAACTCCAAATTTGTCCCCAAAGTCCTAATTCATAGGATTAGTAAAAACTACAAAACACATTCATGCATACCATTTTTGTTGAAGAGGCAGGCAAAACAGTCATGACATTTAGGAAGGTTAAAACTTGCCTTTTCATGTACCTTAATGAATATAGAGGTAGCAGCAGTGTCAGTATTACTAAATTTACCTTTACTTTCTTGGCTTAATGAGACTTTCACCCTCCCAAATTAAATAGATTATGTAAAGATTGTTTTATTTGCATTTTAGTTCATATTTGAGCATTTTATCCTTTTGAAGTGCTCTATTATATAAAATAACTGGAAGTTATTTTTTAAACTAATATACATATAGATGTAAATCTTAAGCTCACAATGCAGAAATTTATGATCCCTGTTCATGGAATTTGTCCAGAATTTTCTTTAATCAATTGTGTTACTCAGATGGTGCAGCACTCATTTACACTTCAGTAAAAGAAAACAAAAATATAGATTTAGTATATAAATACATCGTTCAGAAACTCTATGGGTTTCCCTATAAGATTCCTGCTGTTGTTGTGGAAAAAGATGCAGTATTTATGTAAGTATAATCTTCAATATGTTTTTTATCATGTATTGATGCTACCGTATGGTGAGTCGTCATTTTCAGTTTTAAGGTGGGACCAGTGGATTTTCCATGTTGAGGTGAGAATCTCTTCATAAAGTCCTTTATTTATAATCTGCTTTGATCTATTTACCATTGCCTTTTAGATTTACTGTTGGCCTGAGCCTTTTTTGAAAGGCCTTTGCTTGTATGGTAAAACTATCTGTTGAGTTTTGTATATCAGTGTATTGTATCTACTTATTCTTAAATTGATACTGATATATATATATAAACAACCCATTGTGAAATCTAGATGCTTTAAGAAAGTTACCTGAATAAAATTGGGAGGTAATAATTACAGCCCTCCCCTAAAAAAACTGTAATGGCATTTTTTAATCAGGAAGATTGATAATCATTTTAAGTATATAATTAGTAAAACATAACTTGCACATTATAGTAAACAGTTGATTAGTTTTCCATGGTTGGTCAAATTGCCCCCTTTATATGATTGTGGATTGAATGAAAGAGTGACTATATAAATGCTTCAGAGTTTGTTGTATGCATTTCTTTCCAGTCCAGCAGGGTGGGATAATGATAAGAAAATAGGAATATTACATGAAAATTTTCAAACATTAAAAGCAGAAGATAATTTTGAAGACATCATAACTAAACCACCTGTCCGAAAGGTAACACTTTCACTATATAATTTGAATATTTAGACTTTCAGATTGAGAGGGAATTTCATAACTTCAATATTAAAAGTAGAAATGCAAGGAGGTCCTCTTTTATAAAGAGGGTTTCTAAGTGAAATTTGGGTGTTTATAATATTCACAGGAAGGATTTGTTTTAGCGAAATATAGATCAACTATTCAGTCGCTGAATTATTACTTAGCCTTTGGCTTATTTATATTAGCAAACATCAGTGCAGATTCCATATTCTTCTAAATAACCAAAATCAAATCTGTTGCGGTCAAGTTGATTTTGACTCACAGTGACCCTGCTGTGACCCAGTGACTTCATAGGGCAGAGAACTGTTTCATAGTGTTTTCAAGGCTATGATCTTTACAGAAACAGACTGCCACATCTTTCTTCTGCGAGAGTCTGGTGGTTCTTGAGAGTTCTGCGAGTTTGGTTAGTGGGACCAAACCACTAACCTTTTGGTTAGCAGCCAAAAATTATGGATTGGCATGAGAGAATATGTGGATCTTCAACAGTTGGAGTAGTCAGAATGTATGAACTTTCCAACCTAGAGCTAGCTCAGCCAGAAGCCAAGAAAACATTGCAAGAAGAATTGTCTTGGCTTCTACCTATTGAGACAAACCTTAGATCTTCTACATAAGGTATTAGTAACCTACAGTAGTCCCATAACTATCTAAGAGCTTCCAAAGTCACAGCCATTGAGTTGTTTCTGACTCATAGTGACCCCCATAGGGATTCCAAGGCTGTAAATACAGAAGCAGACTGTGTCATCTTTCTTCTGCAAGCAGCTGGTAGGTTTGAATAACCAGCCTTCTGGTTAGCAGCCAAATGTCTTACCACTATACCACCAGAGTTTTCCAATTTCCAAGACCTTCCAATTTCCTATATTTACTTTTCCATCTAACCTGTAGCATGTCATTCTCATGACTATAAAATCTGGTTCTACAAAGTACTCTTTCACTTACCTTGATTTCATGTTAAGCCATATATGATGCCTTATAGTTAGATACAGATGTTTCTGAAAGGCTGTATAAAAGTAAATATTTGTATATAGTACTTCTCACTGACTCACTTCTCAATTTGAATATAAGTTTCAGGAAAAGATCATTTCAATTTAACATATAATAAGAGTCTTACCTAAGAATCTAAACATTTACAGCATATGGCATCTGTCTTCTCTTTGTATATAATTAGCAATGTGAAATGAAGAATTAGTTGGTGTGGTATTTGATTTGGATGCCTATTAAAAGAAATGCATGCATCAAAAACAATAGTAATAGTTTTTCCCATTCTCTCTTCTGCTAGCTCAGTTGTGCTTTTAGTTGTCTTTTTTTCTTTTATTCATTCCATAAATATTTATTGAGTATTGACTCAGGCACTGTTTTAGGTACTAGGTACTAACTAGGAGGATGGTGCTAATAGTAATCCAGTATATATGTTGTCTGTCAAGTGGTGATAAAGGCTATGAAAATAATGCAGGATGAAAAGAGCTGGCCAGAGAGTCTGGCAAACTGCTGGAATGAGGGCCAGAGTAGTAGGAGAAGAGAGGCAGAATTAAGATCTTATGGGACCTTATCCTTAGACTGTGCTAGGGACTTTGGAATTCCTTCTGAGTAAGCTAGGAAGTGATTGGAGAATTTGAGCAAAGGAGCATTGTACTCTGATAAGCATTTAAAAGCATCACACCGAATGAGCCCTCCTGGTATAACAGTAAACCCTTAGCTGCTAACTATAAGGCTGCTGGTTCTGATGCTCAGCTCTGTGGGAGAAGGAGCTGGCAGTCTGATCTCATAAAGATTATAGTCCAATGTAACCCTGTGGGGAAGTTCTACTCTGTTACATGGTGTCACTGTGAATTGGATTTGACTTGACAATTGTTGAGTTGGAATCAACCTGACAACTATTAATTGCCTAATATCTCCAATACCAGAGAAAATTAGAGCAATAAAAACCATCTGGCTATTGGGAAGAAAGGAGACTAGGGTGGTACATTGTACAGCAAGATTAGAAGCAGGCAGTGTTCTCAATACCTTTTTCCTAATTATTCAGGAGATAGAAGAGCTGTTATATGATTATTTATACTTAAGTATTTAAGTTGAGTTTCACTGAACTGGGAAATTGTTGTTCAGCAAACTTTATAAGTAATAGTAATATTATGCCTGTGGACTCTAGGGTTATGCTTTCCAATACAGTAGCCACAAGCTACATAGGGCTTTTGAATGTAAGTTAAGTAAAATTTAAAATTTAGTTTCTTAGTCATACCAGCCATATTTCAAGTGTTCAGTAGTCACAGATGGCTAGTGGCTACCATCGTGGACAGCACAGATATAGAATATTTACATCATTGCAGAAAGTTATTAGCCAGCTCTGCCTTCAGGGCTTGGGTAAGGCAGTTCATGACATGAATAAAGTATAGATAATGTTCATACTGTTGAACTGGTTTTTAGTTAATCGAGAGAGTAAGTTATTAATGGCTTTATCCTAATATATTAAACTGACTCATTTATGCATTGCTCATTTCAGTTTGTACATGAGAAGGAAATTGTGGCAGAAGATGACCAAGTGTTTCTTATGAAGCTACAGGTAAGAATTTGTATCAGAAGCAGAAATTGCTAGTGAATAAATTGTTCTCACACATATTTACTCTGAAAATACAATAGTATATATTCCATGAATGTCTAAACTAGATTTTTTTTTTCTTGCCCCAGTCCCTTTTAGCAAAACAGCCACCAACTGCAGCTGGGAGGCCTGTGGTTAGTATTAACAGAGTTTGACAAAATTTTTAGAATGTAGAACATGTTGTTCTTTTTTCCTCCCCCTTAATTATATACATATTTCATATGTGTGTACTTTAATATAAACTTGAATTCAGAATTCTGGAATTTGCTTTAAGAGGTTTTAAAATATACGCTTCATTTCCTTTTTGGATATTTAAATCATGTGTAAAGGTTGATTTTGCAAATGTTTTTTATGTGTCATTTACCGTGGTAAGCCATCTATATATGTTCACAAATCCTCAGCAGCCCTATGAGGCAGTACAGCTATGAACCTCATGTAACAAATGGGGAAATGGAGGCTTTGGAGAGGAGCGTTAACTTGTCTGAGATTATATAGACTAAAATGCAAGTTTGGACTGGAATCCAGATCAAATTCCCAAGGTGATTCTTTGAACCATACCTCATTTCTTAATATGTTATTTTCCCGTTGAAGGAAAAATGGGTATTCTAAAATGTGGTAGGCCTGTAGTATTCTCTAATAATGAGGACAAAATTGCTAACATTTTTGTCAATGTCTTGTAGTGTAGAACTACCGGTAGAATGGATGTGGGACTATTTGCTAAGTAATTTCTTTTTATCATAGTAACTTTCTGTTAAGCTGAAAGTTTTGGGTTTTTGTAATTGTGGTTTTCCTGTTTTTATGTAGGATGCCTCTCCAAGAGTCCCAGGAGGTTCTCCTCGAACACCAAACAGATCTGTGTCATCCAATGTTGCCAGCGTGTCACCCATCCCTGCTGGGTCAAAAAAAATTGATCCAAACATGAAAGGTAGTTTCTCTTCTTTTTGAAGAAAATAACACAATACATTTTGCAATGTAAAGAAATTACCTGGAATTCTACCTTTTACCATAGCTACTTTTAGTTTTGTGTAATACTTTTTACTCTTCATCTCTGTATAATCTCATAGTTAATCAGATTGTAAACTGTTTTACATTATGTTCTTAACATCATTTTAACATCCATGATGAAAAGCTTTTTGAAAGTTTTGTGTTAAATTTAGTTACAGGTAAACTGCAGTTAACGTGAAGAAGAAACTATATGCTAATTTCTGTAGGAATAATTGCCGTTAAGTGGCATTAGTAGGTCAGATACTTTGTACATTTTTATACCTTTGATATTTTTTAAATGGATTGCTTAACTTTGCATATAATAAACATTGAGTATTATACTTCTACCACAACCTAATCAACATTCTTTAGTTAATGATAATCTTCCCCTGCCCAGTATTTCTGTTCTATTTTTATTTCCCTTCTGTGAATTGCCCTTTTATCTCCAGGGAACTTCTGCTGGTTTTCATTTAGCATCAGGTAACTTTTTGTAATACCTGATGCAGATATTTTTCAATAGTCATATTTTTGAAAAATCTTTTTCAGAGGGGTGAGATATTTTTAACATCTGCTTATTTAAAATGGTATTAGCCTTTTAATTTAACTTTCAAGTTTTTTAATAATTACCAAACTAGACTTGGGTTCAGAATATATAGCTCTCACATTTTAAGCATATTGTTTTTTGTGTGTGGTTACTATAATAACAATTTATGGAAAAATCTAATGAGTGAAAGCATTTATTGTTTTATAGCTGGAGCCACAAGTGAAGGTGTCCTGGCAAATTTCTTCAATAGTTTGCTGAGTAAGAAGACTGGCTCTCCCGGAGGCCCTGGTGGTGGTAGTCCTGGAGGTGGGGCTGGAGGTGGAAGCAGTGGTTTACCATCATCCTCCAAAAAGTCAGGTAGAGTTGCCTGGAGCAAGTTACTTGGGGGAAAAAAAAGCTTTACAGAGATATAATTTGAATACCATACATTTCACTCATTTAAAGTGTACAATTCAGTGGTTTTCAGTATATTTACAGAGTTGTGCAACCATAATTTAATTTTAGAACATTTTCATCTCCCCAAAATGATGAAACCTTAAATCTATTAGCAGTTACTCTTCTTCACTAAAGGAGCTCTGGTGGTGTAGTGCCTAAGGCATTTGACTACTAAACAGAAGGTTGGAGGTTCAAACCCACCAGCCACTCTGCATAAGGAAGACTGGACAATCTACTTCCATAAAGATACACTGGCTCAGAAACCCAAAGGGAGTCACTATGAGTCAGAATCAACTGATTGGCAGTGAGTTTGGTTTTTTGGTTTCCTCTTCACTACCTCACCCGTTTTCCCCTCACCCCCATCCTGGCAACCACTAAGCTACTTTCTTCTGTCTATGAATTTACAAATTCTGGGCATTTCATATGACTGGAGTCATATAATGTGTGGCCTTTTGTGACTGGCTACTTGTATAGCGTAAGGTGTTCAAGGTTCATACGTGTTGTAGCATGCATCTGTACTTCATTTGTTTTTATGGCTGAATAATAATCCATTGTATATCACATATTTCATTATCTATTTGTCAGTTGATAGACATTTCGGTAGTTTGCTCTTCATACAGTTGTGAATAATGTTCCTATGGACATTCATGTCCAACTTTTTATATGGATATATGCTTCCATTTCTCTTGAGTATTTACCTAGGAGTGAAATTGCTGGTTCATATGGTAACTGTTTAACATTTTTAAAAACTCCCAAAGCAATTCCAGAGCACTGCGCTATTTCACATTCTCCAACAGGGTATGAGTGCCCTTTTTCACACCCTCAGCAACACTTACTATCATCTGTCTTTGATTAATAGTTGTCCTAGTGGGTGTGAAGTCCTGTCACATTGTGGTTTTTTATTTTCATTTCCCTCCTAATGATATTGAGGAATTTTCCATGTGCTATTTCTATATCTCATTTGGAGAATCCTTTGTCCATTTTTTATTTGGGTTGCCTTTTTATTGTTGATTTAAAACCGTTCTTTATGTATTTCTGAATATTTAGATCCTTACCAGCTATATGATTTGCCAGTAATTTCTTCAATTCTGTGGATGGTCTCTGGTCTTTCTTGATAGCGTTCTTTGAAGCATAAAAGTTTTCAATTTTGATAAAGTCTTGTTTATTATTTTCTTTCATTGCTTCATAACTTTTCTTTAAATAGACTTTTTAACTAACCTTTTTGCCACCCTTTTCACAAATACCTGCAGCTACCATTTGCTGAACCTTTTACTGGTTTCTGGGTATACATTGGGTGACTTCTGGGCTTTTCCCATTGCTGCTTTAACAAATCCTGCTTTCTGAGGACTGCTAATTTAGTTATGACTCATTTCATCTTCTTTCCAGATCCTAAAAATTGGTTGCTAGCTTTTTTTATTGTCCTATGCCTTTTTAGAAAAATTCTTTCCTGTCATTTTAGTGAGATATTGGAAAGGAACAAAGGCTAATGGGTGTTCGTAGTTCACCATCTTTTTTCCATACATGTTTAGATTAACTAAGTAAAATTCTAGAAGAAATAGTTTAAGGATAAACCATTGTTGTTATTATGTGCCATCGAGTTATCTTTGACTTATAGCGACCTTATGTACAACACAATGAAACACTGCCCAGTCCTGTGCCAGCCTCATGATTCCTACTATACCTGAGTCCATTGCTGCAGCTACCGTGTCAGTCCATCTTGTTGAGAGCCTTCCCCTCTTTCATTGACCCTCCACTTTACCAAGCATGACATCCTTCTCCAGAGAATAGTCCCTTCTGACAACATGACCAAAGTAGGTGAGACAAAGTCTGGCCATTCTCGCTACTAAAGAGTATTCCAGCTGCACTTCTTCCAGGACAGATTTGTTAGTTCTTTTAGCAAACCACGGTACTTTCAGCTTTCGCCAGTACCACAACTCAAAAGTATCAACTCTTCTTCAGTCTTCCTTATTCATTGCCCAGCTCTCACATGTATATGAGGTGACTGAGAATACCATGACTTGGGTTAGGCGCATCTTAGTCTTCAAGGAGATAGCTTTGCTTTTCAGCACTCAGAGGTCTTTTGCAACAGATTTGCCCAATGCAATATGTCTTTTGATGTCTTGATTGTTGCTTCCATTGGTGTTGATTGTAGAACCAACTAGTATGAAGTCTTTGACAACTTCAATCTTTCTCCATCTATTATAATGCTGCTTATTGGTCCAGTTGTGAGGATTTTTGTTTTCTTTATGTTGAATGTAATCCACACTGCAGACTGTATTCTTTAATCTTCATCACCAAGTAATTCAAGTCATCTTCACTTTCAGCAAGCAAAGTTGTGTTGTCTGTGTATCTCAGGTCATTAATGAGCCTTCCTCCAATCCTGATGCCATGTTCTTCTTCATATAGTGCAGCTTCTCGGATTATTTTCTCAGCATACAGATTGAATAAGTACAGTGAAAGGATACAACCCGGACGCATTCCTGTTCTGGTTACCTAGTGCCACTCTGACAGGAAACATACCACAGATGGGATGGCCTTTACAAACAGGAGTTTATTCTCTAACAGCTTAGGGGCTTTAAGTCTAAGATCAAAGTGCCAGGCTCTAAGGGCTGGGTGAAAGCCCCTCAACCTTGGGTCCAGCTCTGCCTCCTGCTCCCAGCCCACTGGAGCTAGAGGTATTTCTTCACTCAGACAGCTGCTGGTTGCTGAAGCTGAGAAGCCCCAAGGGTGACAAGTAAAAAGGCACAGTCCCAATATTACCAAAGCACATGGCAGGCCATTAACTTAAGCCCATTGTACGTCCCAGGGTCGGCAGAGCATGGCAGGCTGCTGAACAATGACACGGCTACATGCAGGATTCAAGGTGCCATAAGCTAGAGACCATTCCCAAGGCTTCTCCTTAAATACAGGAAGCAGACCACATCCCAAAGGCAGCTACTCAGCTGCTTGTGGTAGATCCCACCATGGTGTTGATTGCCAATCTCATCATGGGGAATAACTACCACCAGCTGCCCAGCCATTCAACCAGGCCCAATCAAGTTGACACACAAATATAACTACCACAACTCCTTTCCTGATTTTAAACCATGCAGTATCCCTTGTTCTGTTCAAACGCCAACCTTCTGGTCTATGTACAGGTTTCATTACATTTTTGACAACTTCCAGGATTTCTAGATTCATACTTCGTACATTCCATGTTTCAATTATTAATGGATGTTTGCAGCTGTTTTTCTCATTTTGAGTCATGCCACATCAGCAAATGGAAGTCCCAAAAGCTTTACTCTGTCCACATCATTAGGTCAGGTCTGTTCTAAAGGAGGCAGCTCTTTCCTAGTCATATTTTGAGTCCCTTCTGACCTGAGGGGCTCATCTTCCAGGACTATATCAGGTAATGTTTCAGGGCTATTCATAAAGTTGTCCAATAATATATCATCAGACAGTGCTTTCACTGCTGTTCATAAGGTCTTCAGTGCCCAATTCTTTGAGAAGTGGATGGCCTCTTCCTTCTTCCGAGTCTGTTTTAGTCTGGAAGCTCTGCTGAAACCTGTCCACTATGGGTAACCCTGTTGGCATTTGAAACGCTGGTGGCATAGCCTCCAGCCTCATCTCCCTTAGTTGTTCCAAACTGTTCCACTCCTGCTTCCTGGCCTGCCCTACCTGTTCCGGCCCTCCAAAAACCCTCTTCCCCAGGATAAACCATATGATCTGATTTTTTAAAAACATCGATACCTGTGATCTCAGTAGGGGATTGCCTCAGAATCCCAGCAGCCATTTAAATAAGATGCTGTGGTATTTCCTGCCTTTCTCAAATTGAGGACCAATTTGGAACAGCTTCATAGTGTTTTATATTTTAAGATGGTGCAATATGAAGTTGTATAGATAATCTGGAAAGGATTCAGAGGTTATAGTAATGTGATTCCCCTATTAAACTTTATGGAAACACTGAAGTGTTGGCAGTGTTTTAAAATGGGAAAAAGAACACAATTGTCTTCTTGGTGAAATTGTTTTTTATGGTGCTTAGAATCAGAAGAACGAAATTAAAAATTTAATCTAAATTATTTAAGTTAACTGAAAAAAAAGTCTTAGTAATGAAAGCTACTAAAGAGTGAATTTAATTAGAAAAGAAAATGAAATCTGTTCTAAGTAGAATAATTAACATAGTTTTGCTTCATCTAAAAAGTGAATTAAAATGAATAAATTAATATACTTTTAATGTTTGGTTTATCTAAGCATGATTTTGAAGTAGGTTTACTTAGAATTATCATTTGTTTGCAGCAAGTAGTCACAAAGTCACAATTCTTTGGTCTGTGATGACCTCTCTGATGTGCTGCTTATCACAATTACTTATGCTGAAGTTACTTTTGACTCATGCTAAAATTACGTCTAAAATAACTCTATTTTAATTTAAGAATTCTGTTTACATTCCTTCCAGCCTTAAACTTTCTGTAGCCAAGAGCTCTGTTAAGAGAACGGGATGATCTAGAAAACAGGCTTAGGTGTTGAGGTCTGATCTAAAGTCCTGTTGTTGTTATGTGCCGTCGAGTTGGACCCAACTCATAGCAACCCCTCCTTGGGTTTCCGAGGCGATATCACTATGGATTTAGAAGTGATTACCATTTTTGGATAGAGCAGTAAAATATGGGACCTAAATAAACGCAGCTTGTATTGAAGATCTGTCATCATGTGGTTATTACTTGAGCATTATTGGTGCTTAATTACTCTTAAGTAGGAAGGAAAGCAAAACTGGCAATTAATAAGGTGCTGGTTCCACAGTGAGAATAATTGAGGTTTGAATCCCTTTTTCTACCATTTCTAGCCATGTGACCTTGAGCAAGTTACCTGATTTTCTAAACTTTGAATTTTCTCTCTGTAAAACCAATATACTGATATCACAACAACTTTAAGGTGGGTTTTGATGAAAACAAGTTAATGGAGATGAAGTTCTTGCCAAGGAACCTGACATATGGTCACCTTTTTTAATTCTTAGAATCTGGTACTGGTTTAGGGCCCTTCTTATTAAAAGGACTCCGTTATAAGCAAATACTGTACAGCCCACTCTGAACCAGGTGGCTAGAGTGTTATTTAAGTAGTCAGAGAGGGTTACCAGATTACCCTGACATTAATCCACTAATACACCATGTGGACTCCCTTTAATATCATTTAAGGCAATTGTTTATACAAATGCCTTCTACTTTCACATGATTAATGTAGAGATTAATTCTGTTTAAACTTGTTGGAGATGCAAATACTGGACCCAAACACAGGGATCGCTCAGCAGTCTAGAGAACATACTCATCAGAAACATTGTTCAAATGGCCACCTAATCCCCACCTAATGGCCACTCTTGGACCCTACTTATATGGAGCAAAAGAGAAAGAAGGAAACCAAAGATTCAAAGAAACTAGTTTACAGGACTAATAGTTCACATGACTCATGGTGTCGTCTATCTGGAGGCCAGAAGAACTAGATGATGCCCAACTACCATTACCAACCCTTTAGACCAGGGACACAAGAGATGGTCCTGGGAGAGAGTACAACATAGAACAAACTTCAGATTCCTTTTAAAAAAAAAAGGCCAGGTTTACTAGACCAGTTGTTATTGTTGTAATATACCACCAGTGGAAACTAGAAGATCCCCCAAGACTCTCACCATGGGATATCCTTTAGATTTAGCACTTAACCCACTCCCAGAGATCACCTTTCAGCCAAATATGAGACCAAATGGTGAGTATTTACGCTGAAGGAAAGATGAGACTGTAAAGGCTGGGTGGACAAGGAAGCTAGATTAATAGTGAACAGTCAGAATGGAAATGATGAGAATGCTGACACATTGTGGAAAATGTAACCAATTCCACTGAATGTATAGAAATTGTTAAATAGGTATCTAATTTGCTATGTAAAACGAAGATAAAATAAAATAATTTTAAAAAAAGACAAGGTAGTGCCTGGTTCTGACTACCCACCAGTCTGACCACAATACATGGACCCTGGTAGAATGGGAGAAAAATGTGGGACAGAATCTCAAATTCCTAAAAAACAAGAAAAAACAGACTTACTCGAACTGTTGAGACGAGGACTCTGCAGGACTACTGCCCTGAACCAAAACTAGCCCTTGAGGTCCCCTTTTAGCTGAATAGCAGTTAAATTCACCAAAGTAAAGACTATTACCTGTGAGTACTGTGCTCTTTAATCAAAAATCATCTATATGAGACAAAATGGTCAATAATTACTTTTAAAACAAAAACGAGAGTTAAGGGGGACTGGGAAACTAGGTTAATGGAAATGAAACAGCCAGAACAGAAATACTGAGCATGTTTACACATTGTGAAGAATGTAACCAGTGTCACTAAATGATTTGGGTAGTAATTGTTGTATGAGGACCTAAAGTGCTGTCTAAACAAACCTTTAGTAAAAACATCATAAAATACTACTTATGACAAAAAGAAAGTTCTTTATCTCTGGCAGGATTCTTAGCTGAGGGCTGCCCCCTCAAGTTGACAACAGCTGATTAGAATTCATATGAGATAAATGATAGGTGCTTGTTTTCCCTCTATTTGGTGACAGCCTCCACAATTTAACTGAAATAGGATAATTTATTTTTCAATTAAGGATGTTTATATAATTTAGTATGCTAGGTAAAGTTAATGAAATTATTTACAGTTTTTAAATAAAAAAACATCGGTAAAAAAGACACTTTGAATTATATATATCTAAATCTTGTTTATTTTCTTTTCCTTCATTGTAGGCCAGAAGCCTGTCCTATCAGATGTTCACGCAGAACTAGACAGAATTGCACGAAAACCAGTTACTGTTTCTCCTACAACACCTACATCCCCTACAGAAGGAGAAGCTTCTTGAAGATACCAAATAAAGCCATTTATTCAATTTTCTGGGATAATGTAAACTTGCCTCTGCCTTTTCCTTCAAAAGTGGAAGTAGGGAGCTAGAGTGCTTTTTCAGATGGACTGAATTCACATCTGTTTTTTGTTTGTTTGTATTTTTGTTTTGTGGTTGCCCATTTGTATTAAAGGGAGCCATAGAGAAGGAAAATTATTCTACATGAGGTAGGATTGCTATTTGCATTGCCATTTTGCATAAGGACATAATTTTGGAATTTTGGAAAACTCAGAATCGACAGAACTAAAACATAGCCATACGATCACATTCTAAAGGCTATTTAAAAGATATAGGGAGGTTTAGAGAAGGGCAGGAAATTATATACAATTTAGGTGTTTGACTAACTTGGAAGTCCAAGCTTATTTTAATTAAGACTATTGAAATCATTCAAAAATTACATGTTTTACTGGTAAAGAAAATGATCAGTTGTCAGATTTTTGCACACCAACATAAATGAATGCAAATAAAATGTACCACCACACATGGAATACGCCGAAGAGAACCATCAGATAGCATTTGATAACACTAGTCACTGTCTCAATTCATGATCCTGTAAGTTGTCATCAAAATATGACTTAGCAATATTGGCCAAGATTTGTTTCTTTAACTGCGAGGAAAAGAAAGCACACTGCCTAAATATGTAAAAGAAAAATGCAGAGGTTATTAAAATGTAAAGAGTAATAGTCTTTCGATTTGTCTATATATATATGTATATATATATATGGCTCTGCCTTAATATACCATTTTTTTGTTTGTGACTTTCAACTGTAATCAGTTAATAAAGTATTTATTCTCTGCATTCAGGTTCAAATAATTTGTTGCATTCACTTATATTTAAATTTGTATTTATCAGCTGGTGATTGATAAGATTTGTTAGTATTTTGAAATTTTTCACTTAAAATAGGATTGTTAATCATTCTGATCTTTCTTCTTCTAAGAGACAAGTGAATACATGAGATTCACTATCCTGTAAATGTCCTTTATTGGGAGTTTGCTTTGACTAACACATCTTCCCCCAGGCATGTCTCAAACTGCAAATTGTACATCAGCCTTCTTACTAGATTAAATACAGTCTCTTATTGTTACTTAATGGAAAGAAGCAACGTTAAAGGCTAGGCTTATGCACTGACACATAGCTACTCTGTTATAGGCAGAATACCTGTTACATCAGTTATACTGTTTTCAAACCTTCTTAAGAACAATTTGATCTTTTTATTGAAGTTGACCAAAACTCATCTTCATTTGACCTACTGAATCATTTCAGACAATTGGAAAAAAATTGGCTTACTTACCCTTTGAATTGGTTTTTGTTACTTAACTCTAGAATATACTATATATTCTAAACTTTTTTTCAACAAGAGGACAATAGCTACTATCTAGCATAATCCTTTCATTAGAACTTTAAAATCTGTTTAGTTTTATAATCATACTTGATTCCTTATAGATGAGTATAAATGCTAAAGATATATGAGAAGGTAATGATTTGTTTCCATGTAGAAGAACCTTAAGGTGTTTATGAGCATGAAAAAGTTAATTTGTGGGAATGTTTTATTTGCTAAAATATGAGGTAAAAATGCCACCGAAGAAACCTTTAGTCCTGAAAAGGTTCTGCAATTTTGGTGGTGTAGAGACCAAAATTTCTAAAGTAATACTTAGTGAAACAGCTGGAACTAATGAAAAATAAAATTACAAACTGTGCATCCTGGTATACTTTGAAATATCTGCTACTGTGTTTGCATGCATAGACCAAGTAACTTTTTTGTGTGTGACATTGGAGATGTACTAGCAAATTTTAGGAATTGATTTAGTTGTTAATCTCAAATTACTGTAATTGATACTTGTTCATTATGGGATTCCGTCTTAACTAAAACTTTGCATTTACCTTGTTTAAACTTTAAATCTATTTTTGTACCAATTTTTGCAAGGAAGGTAATTTTTTTAAAACTAATTTTTGTTTTTAAGTAAACTATTGAAGTATAAAATGTACAAGTTACAAGTGTACGGTTTGAAATATCACACAGTGACCACATATAATCAGCAACTAGATCAAGAAAGAAAACATTTCCAGCACCCCAGAAGATTGCCATGTGCCCCTCTCAGTACCATCACCCAATGTAACCACCGTCCTGACTTTCAACTCCATAAATTTTGCCCATTTTCTACACTTTCTATAAAAAGAATCTTAGAATTTGTTGCATGTAGCTATAGTTAACCACCTCATTGTAGCATAATACGCTATTGTGCAAATATAATTTAACCTTTATGCTGTTGCTAGTTGTATATTTCCTACTGCTGCTGTGACAAATAATCACAGATTCAGTGACTTAAAGCTATAAATTTATTACATCACCACCCAGAAGTCCAAAATCAGTCTCACTGGGCTCAAGTCAAGGTCTTGGCAGGCCTGGTTTTTCCTAGAGTCTCCAAGGGAGAAGCTATTTCCTTCCTTTCCAAGCATCAGAGGCCATCTGCGTTCATTGGCTTGTGACTTCTTCCATCTTCAAAGCGAGGAGCCTATAAAATATCAAACTCACTGCTGTCAAGTTGGATATGACTCACAGCCACCCCTCCTTGGGTTTCTGAGGCAGTGTCACTACAGAAGTAGACTGCCCAACCTTCCTTCCAAGGAGTGGGTGGTGGGTTTGAACCACCAGCCTTCTGGTTAGCAGTCAAGTGCCTCAGGCACACTGTGCCACCAGAACACCTTCAATTCTCTCTGCTTGCATTACATTACCTCTCACTCTGACCCTTCTACCTCCTCTTATAAGGACCCATGTGATTACATTGGACCAACCAGGATAATCCAGAATAATCTCACCACCTCAAGGTCCTTAATCACATTTACAAAGTCTCCCTTTGCCAAGTAAAGTGACATACTCACAGGTTCCGGGGATGAGGACGTAGATGTTTTTAGGGGCCAATGTTCAGCCTACCACAAGATGTTTGGATTGTTTTCAGATACTATTATGAATAGTGCCAATATGGACCTTCTTGAACACTTGAACATACCTTGTGGGAAACAT